ATATATATATATATATACACATATATATGTATATGTGTATATATATAAGTTATTATTATTATCTTCTTAAGATATGTTTTCTCCCCGACTACTTCGTCCTTCACAAAACACCGAGCATCAGCCTGTCGCTCTTCCTTCCTCTTCCTCTGGAAACATGAAGAGAGTTTTCAGTGAGGAAGAGAATGATGCACCAGTGTGTGTCTGTGATCAGTGCACCAGGTGTGTGTCTGCCTGAGAGGCCTCCTCGCAGCAGGTTCTGCAGACGCACATCCCTAAAGCTGAAGGTTGACGGCCGACTAGCTGCTTTAACACACACTGAATAAAAATTGAGGTGATTAATTCTTTGAGGATTTGTGTTTTTCCCTCCAGCTGGGCTCCGTGTTCTCACTCTTTAGACACGTGTTGATTCTCTCAGGAGCAGAGAAGTGTTTGTCTTGAGGATTGTGAGTCTCTACAAATGTACCGCATTGTGTCTGTGCGGAGAGAAGTTTGCTTGTTAATGAGAGTTGTTTGCATGTAATTGGTTTTATTATGGAGTAGGCGAGCGTGCATGCTTGTGCAAAGTGTTTCGGCGTGAGTTTGCGCTTCATTGCGCTTGTGCTTGTACATGGGCCCGTGTCTCATTTCATTCGGCTCATTACAAACACGTGGGAAGAGTGTTGGCGTTGACGCGGCGCTCCGCGCAGCCGGGAGTGCTTCCGCTCCGCCGCGCGGCGGCTCGGTCTCATTACTCGACCGTTGAACGGGCGCGTCTGGATGAGGCTCTGATTTGGGATCGACTCGAAAGGGGGAAGGACGGTGCGTCCATTGGAGGGAGAACAGCGTATCAATTGTAGACACGTTCTCATCAGAGCGGCAGAAAGTCAATAATTGCTAGATTGGGTTTTGTGTCGGTTTGGAGGGTTTGGTTCAAAAGAGCAATTCAGAGGATTTGGATTGCACAGCAGCAAGTTCACAACGGCAGACATTGCACAGTTAAAACGTGTTTTGAAGGATTCATCTGATGTGATTGAGCCTTTTTTCCCCTTTTTTTTTTTTGCTCAAATGTTCCTCAGTTTTCATGTTGATTTAATTAGATTTAATCATCAAGTATAATGATTGAATGAAACAAATGTGTTTAAAAAGTGTAACTCAGTCCCGATACTCCTCAATGAGTAACAGGCGATGAGAAGTGTTTTCAACAAGACGATATGCACACTTTGTCCTTTTCCTTTCAAAAACCCACAAAAAAAACACCGCTTTTGACACTAAAACTTCAATCTCTATGTTCATTTTTATTATTTCTGCAGAACGACGGCCAAAATATAGATGTCTCGTACATATACTTCCCCATGCCATTAGCAATGTGGGAGGTTTCGACAGCCGAAAGCGTTCCCATAAAAGAATATCAGTGGTAAATGACAGGTTTTACTGTCAATCGCTCCGAATCAACACGCTTCCCTCCAGTTTTTTCCACCGACGTTCCACAATCACGCCCCGAGACGTTTATTGCAGAGCATGCAAACTCCGGGTGCCAATTTCAGCAGCAGTAGCCTCAGTTGACTAAAATACAGTGCAGCTGCAGAAAGTGCTATGTGTGTGTGACGAGAGTGGCACAGATCTGGAGAACGGAGGAAGTGACTAACTGGAGCACGAGCAGAGGAGTCGAGGGAAAGTGAGGACACGCAACAGAGTTGATTGCAACTTCTCGTCACAAACTTAACTCCCGGAATCTGCTGAAGGCCGCGGAATTGATGACATGCAACCTCGTTGAAGATACGAGGGTGGATTTTCCCTTCAGGTCCAGGCCTCTGATTTGTCCCCAACAACAAATGCGAGACGCAGACACTCTGACCTCAGCCAGACACAAAACAAATTAAGTTTCCTTTCGGTGCACTTACCGCCCCGTCTCCAAGCACTCCTCATCAACAAAACCAATTTTGGGAAGACTTGAGAGGTGCTTTGTTAAAAATGGACAGTTAGGAAAATGCCTTGATGCAAATTTACTGATGCGCCTCTTTGTCTTGCTTTGTCGTGTGTGTGTGTGTGTGTGTGTGTGTGTGTGTGTGTGTGTGTGTCTTTGTTTCTTTCCCTTCAGAGGCGGCTTTGAACAGGATGTGGAGAACGGTTACCATCAGCACGCTGAAACCTGCCACGGTGAGATGGAAACTTTTATTTATTCCCAGTGATTTGCATAAGCGATAAAGAGAGAGAGAGAGAGAGAGAGAACACACCTATTGACCGTCATCGGATCTTGATGGCAGAGCGACAGCAGGCTCGCATGATTGCGGATCTATCGGGTTCTAATGGAGCATTACGATGTATTTATTTCAAAGAGGGCATTGAGAGCTTGAAGAGTAGTTTGTCCGCCCCGTTCACGGTTCCTGCTGGAACACGGTTCTCAATCTTTTTATGTACATCAAGCAGGAGTGTTTTTATAGAAATTTTGAATATAATATTGGCTGCTGATAATGGCCGATACACACGTCAACATGGTAGAAATAACAACACACTGATGTCATTGTGAATTTCTGTGTTTGTCTTTCACCAGATGTTCTGGCGACGACTCGCAAGCAGAACACGGCGCTGGATTTGGCGTACGGTCAGTGAACACGTCTTAACTATTTAATCTATCTGAGCACTAACAGACTAAAGGTTAGCAAACAGAACGCAACAACGTTTTTTTGTTGTTTTTTTATCAAATACATTTGATAAAACTGTTTACAACCTCTCTGATTACTTGTGTTCTGGTAATGAGTAAAACAAGTCACAAGGAAAGTTAAAAAAGCTCCGTCATGTTGAAGAAATATTTGAGAGGATCCGATGTATTCAGTCCCTACCACGTAAATATTCTTTATACTTTACAACCTGGGAGGTTACAGAGCATTTTATTGCGGCAGCTGAATGGCCGGTGCCGCCTCTCCTCCTCCTCAGACAGTTTAAACATTGAAGCCATTGTCTGAGGCGTCGGTCCTTTGATGGACCAGGCAGCCTAATGCCCTGTATCAAGAAGGATCATCATCCCTGTCACGTCCCATTACTCCCCCGCTGGCCACGCCGCGTAGCCCCCCCCGGCATGGCCGGAATAGAAATAGAAATGCCGGTAAGCTTGCTACCGTCTCTGACAAGATTGAAGAGGTGGAGTTCGGACAACCTTCTAATGCGGCATCGTCATTTTCTATCAGATAGCTGCTGGCCAACACTTTATCTGCACGACTGAAGCACCCGCTTCAACTTCATGACGAGGTTATAAGACAGGCTCACAGTCAGACTGTCGCCGGACGAATTGGGAGCCAATGGATCCAACGCAGTGATTAGTATCCGCAATGAGCCCGTCATGCTGGGAGTCGTCGGTCCATTACGGCTCAGCAGAAGCATCCATCCTCAGTCTCTCTCTCTCTCCCTCCATCTCTCTCAGAACAGAGGCCACTTTGTCTGCAGAGGCTTCGGCCCAGACCTCCACAGTCCCACTGTGCCTCAGTAGTCTGCAGAGCCTCCCCGCCGGAAGAATTACCACTCAGTCGGTAGCAAGTGTTGTCGAGCAACCCTCCCTGCTTAATCCCACGGGGCTCTCATCACCCGATGCTTCGCTGCACTGTTTTGAAGTTCTCGACATGCAGTCGGATTCTGTCTCTGTTGTTCGATTTATTTATTTGGTTTGAATCATTTATTTGATTCACTCCAAAAGCCTGATAAGTCTCCCGCCCTGAAGATCAATTATCAGCTTTCCTAGATAACGCAACGCCACGTATGCCAAAGCAAAGCCGGTGTCACACACGGGCTCCCTTTCCCGTCTTCCAAAAGACCCAAACAATCACAGCCAGCAGAGGGAAGGGCACGAGACAAACACCTGCCTCTGTAGCTAATCACATGATCCTCTGTTGTATCTTTTTTATTTTTGGTACTTTGTCAACAGTAAAAAAGGGACAAAAAAATCAAATCCTTCATGCACACTGAGTGTAACACAATTGTTATGAATTGAATTAATGGAGTCCTGGAGCTATTTTCCGATGTGCCAGGGCCAAACACCCCCTGGTGTACAGTTTTAATTTGCCCGGCGCAGATGGCGAACCGACGGGGCATCTCATTCAGAGTGAACGCTGTCAACTGGCTCGCAGTGAGAGAGAGAACAAGCTTTTTTTTCTTCTCTTTTTCTCCTCCAGTCTGGGTGTGAGCCTCTGCAGAACGCTAGCATTATGGCTGGCCTATTAGTGCAGGAGCCCGAGCCAATAGCAGCATGCTGCTCACCGGACCTCAAGGACAACACGGAGCTAATAATGCAATCAAGATGTGGAGTGTGTCATCCAGACAAACACGTTTGATGATACGGCGACCCGTGGCAGCGAAAACGCCCAGCGGGTTTTCTCGGCATGCGTTTGAAATGATTCCGAATTCTGGCCAAATGTCATAATGTTCGCTGATCTGCCTCAAGGTGACGGAGTTTTCCTGTGAAGCAGCTCGGGTGAGGTAGTGGAAAAGAGTCAGCCAGCCGACGGTATCTATTTCAGCTTATCTGTGAAAACGCTCAGCAGAGCGGACACACAGGAGTTTTAACGGTGGTCGGAGGTCAAAGACATGTTAGAAATACGGGAGGAGAAGCAGGATGAGAACTGAAAGCCGGTCATTCTGTCCGATCATGATGGTGTATTTAAATAGTAGAAGAATTCAAAAGCCATTCCCTTTAGCGTTTCCAAGTGTTGTTATTGTTAGCGCTGCTGTTTCAAGGACAACTAGATCAGATATAATAGGAAATGGCTTGAAAAGCCACCGTAAGACAACGTGTTAGATAATCAAACTGCTGTGTTGTGACGCTAAAAGAGTCGCAGAAATGTGCTAATGATATATTTTGTTACAAGAGCAGTGTGTGGGATTCAGTGGCGTCTAGCCCTCTGATCACCCCTCCCTCACTAAGCGTGTCGGAGAACTACGGTGGCCTTCAGGTCAACGTAAACATGAGAGAGCCAGTGTTTGGTTTGTCTCTCCATGAAAGAGAAGCAGCTCCCTATGTAGATATGAAGGGCTCATTCTAAGCTATCAAAAACAAAACGATTCATAGTTTTAGTATAAATACATTAACTTTTAGTTCCCCTAAATCCTACACACTGGCCCTTTAAAGGATATGAGTTGTTTTTGAGTGCTTGATAATAGCAGCACAGCAAGACATATTCTGGAGAATCGTGGATTGCAAATGTTGGAATGCCAAAATCACAGGTCCCCAGAGAGGTTGAATGTGGGTATTAAGCAGCTGGTGAAGAACACGGCAGCCAGTCCTCATTGTGTATCTGAGGGGAAGCGAAGTGACGGATGAATTAACTTCTGCTCTGTGTGCTCATCGTGTTGCTCGCGATCATCGCTGGGTCTTTATGGTGACGGTTTTAGTTTCCACTCAGGACTCACCCTCATCTCTCTGAAGTTGATTCTCCAGGCTGATTCACATTTCACTAATCACTCACTCTGTTGCCCCCCCTTCCTTCCTCCTCCTCCTCCTCCCCCTTCGTCACAACCACAGGGAAGACCACACCCACAAGCGCCAGCACAACCTATCATGGGGCGGCGTTCCCAAAGGAGGCAGGTGACCCTGAAAGAGGTACAGGTCCTGATGGCCCTCCCCCCGTTGGGGAGCAAGGGTCACCTGACTCGGAGCCAATCAGTGTGGAGATGGAGGGTAAGGGGGAGGGATGTCTGTCCTCAGTGAACCTGCAAGGGGATTGCACTGCTGGGCCCACGAATGCCTCGTCGTACGCCTCTAACCAGACTGAACACTAAGAAAAGAATCATGTTTCTCTCTGGAAGAACAGCACGCATGCCTGCACTGCATCAGTCCAATCACCCAACCTGCGTTCTCATGGCAATGGCACTCATTTGAAATGGCTAAAAAAAATTGCATTTTCTTCGCAATTTTGATAAGAAAACGAGTCCTGACCAGTAAAAGCAGGAAGTAGCTTGAGGCCGACCATGCAGGAAGTCATGTGATGCATGCGACTATGTGTAAATGTTCCCCCAGGGTGAAATATCACTTTCATTAGCTCATCTAACGCTTAACTCACGAGTTAAACTAACCTCTTAGTGAAAGGCAGAAAGCATTGCTCATTGATTTTCTTGATTCACACGCTTCATTAGTCACAACGTTACATGACGCCATGCTCCACTTAACGGTTCTGCTGACGGATGAATAAGTGTTCGATAACACCACGGCGTACATATTGACAAAACATGCGTCGGATAGAGAGGATGACCTTCTTGTCCCGTTATTTTCATCCCGTATATCTCCATGTGCTCGACGGAGCAACCACGAAAGATTTAATGACTTGTAATAAATATGCAGCCTCGGCTCTAATTAACTCCTCAAATTAAGTAGAGAACCTGCGTCTAAACAACACCGCTCCCTCCTGGCCTTTCCTCATCTTTTATTTAGCTCGTCAGCATGCACAAATATTCCCTCAATGTTTTGCGACACATTGAAAAAAGCTCAGAGTACAAACCAGGTAGCTCTCTATGTGACCATTCATTTACATTTTTAATTTCCCTGTGCAGCACGTACAGAGAAGTCAAAGTCCTGATGTCAACTTCCAGGCTCGCTGCTTTTCCACCAGCTTCTATAACTCAACGAAATCTCTCCGTCACTATGCTTGCATGCACACTAATATTTAACTAATATTCCGAATATGACAATGTAAACAACATATTCCATTTGGATATTCAGAATTAGGCTAATTCCGACATGTAGAATTTTCAGATTAAGCTGATATTATTCTATATTCCAGGTCTGAAAAGTGAAGTCGATGCTTCATTTCGTTGTATGTTCGTACAATGATAATAAACATCCTTATCCTTATCCTTATCCATGTCTTAAAGCTGCATTCTCTCTAGTGTCCACCAGGGGGCGACTCCTCTGGTTGTATAGAAGTCTATGAGAAAATGACTCTACTTCTCTCTTGATTTATTCCCTCAGTAAACATTGTAAACATGAGTTTATGGTCTCAATCTCTAGTTTCAAGTCTTCTTCAATACAGCATGATGTTCATTTAGTAACTTATGGTCCATTTAGAGTCAAACAGACCATAAAGCAGGGTATGCTTTAGGGCGGGGCTTACTGTGATTGACAGATCTCTACCACTACGTTGTCCGGTCTGGGAGTTGTCCGTGTTTTCGTCTTAGAACTTTAACCCTTTCACAGTCTGTTTTCAGACTGTCGCCTAAAAGTATCTTGCTTAGCGTTTGGTTGTACTTAGCTCCAACCTCTCGTGTCACTTCTGGTTTCAAAAGCCAAGATGGCGATGGCCAAAATGCCGAACTCGAGGCCTCAAAACCAGAAACTAATGAGTGCCGTCACGGTGACTACGTCCACTTCCTTCCATGGTTCTCGTGCAAAAGGATGCTAAAAAGAAATAGCACGAAGAACACAGTTTTGCAAAACGGTTACAAAGAGGGTACACCACGGGAGCAACATGACTGCAGTTGGAAAAGGATGGAAATTTAAGTTATTTAAAGGGCGTAGCCGTATTACGTTCATCAATGATGCCCAGCCGCGCTTCCTTCACTCCCAATGACACTTCTCCATCTTTTTAGCTGCAATATCCACCGTCTTAAAGAACCGTTTCCTTTTTCATCTCCCGGGCACTCAACTGCCCTCAGTCTGTGGCTTAACCCGGGACAGTCTGAGCTAAAACAATGTTCAATCAAGGTCACTAAAAGCTGTATCAAAGAAGCAACAATATCAGATGTTAGGTATTGCTTTTCAAAGATTAACAATCCCCGTCTAGACATATGGAGTGACTTGCTCTACAATTTATTGTTTAGTCTTTAAAACATCAGAGGAACAGTGAGAAATGTTCATCGCCATTTCCCAGAGCGCATGGTGATGTATTCAGATTGCTTGTTTCATCCCACCAACTGTCTGAAATCCAGAGATATTCAATTTGTTATAATAGAAGACAAAGAACAGCAGATAATCCTCTTATTTCAGAAGGTGGATTCTTCAACTTTTTGCCATTTTTTACTTGGAAAAAAAATGACTTACGCCATTAATTACACAAATCATTTGAGCTAAAGGTTGAATTGTTGGGCTGGATCTTTGTGATTTTGTAATTACAAACCTCAGAATGATTTTGAATGATTTAAAGTTCTGTTTTTCACTTAAGCTTTCTATTCCCACTTTATCAAAGGCGTCTGACCTGTAATCTCGCAGCAACAGACTCTTCAACTTTTACAGCGCACCACCCAACTGCCCAAATAAATGACATGACCTATAAAACTCCAGCCAGCTCTTGAATATTTAATCACATCTCGATCTTTATGGGCTCAAGTCTAATTATTTCTTAAATTTTTAATTTGACGGTTCGTTCGCCCCCATACTGATTAACATAACCATGACAGGAAGTGCAACAAAACGTCCCTGTGAACCCTTGAATGATCACGTAAAGAAACAAGAGCTGCAGAGAAGAACAGAGAAAGTGTTGGGGTCTATCCCCTTCTAAAGACTCGATCATGTTCCTGCAAGTTTGGGAAGAAGATACGGGTCATTTGGACGTGATTCAGGGAGGACAAGCTTCTTCTTTTTTTGTCCTCTCCTTGCTGCTTGCTAGCACAGGCACCATGTCAGAAGTCCATAAATCCTCAGCGAGGGAAACAAGCTTCCATTCAGGCAGACAGACTCTCTGGCTGCAATGATGAGCTACTCAGGCTCAAATGAGAAAAGCCCATAACAAATAAATAACCAGCAGGGGCCTGAGCCAGGGAGTCGGACAAGAGCGGGGGGGGGAGGGTGTCAGGATGTAATAGAAACAGCAACGCAATCTATTTCAGCCAGAGACTGTGACGCCGCCGGTTCAATCAGAGGAGCCGGGGCCGGCGGGTTGATAAGGAAGGAGAGAAGCCGGTGTGGAAGTAACAGCGTCGTAGTTCCAGGAGGGCCTCCAATCTCCCTCAGCCCCCGTCCATTGCTCACCAGGTATCTGCTCTTCTGTCTGTACTTCCTACAGCTGTGTCACAAATCTCCCAGCAGCCACAAGGTGGGCCAGTAGACAACGGTGCAGAGATAGCGGCCCAATATAGAGCGGCTAGTCAAGAGAGACAAAGATACCTGAACACAAGTTACAGAATGCGACACTGTGTATCCAGATTGTAACACACAACATATTCTTGTTAACTGGCCATCGTGCTCAGCGCCATTGTAGAGAATACAGTCACTGGCCTCTGTAAAGACTGAGTCAGACTTAAGTCGCAACAATGACGACGTTTGCCAGATGAACACGTGAAAGTTTACTGCATATTTAGTTCAGGACTTTGTGTCATTTGCACAGAACACACTATTGACTCAGTGTTGAAGAAAAGTGATCAAACGCTGTCATCTTTAACTGGACGTGGGACTTGCAGTCAGGGACTTAAGAATGTATTCGACACTTGTCTGCACTGGATCCATTTCAGCCATGCTCTTCAGTTTTCCTCTCGTGTCTCGTGCTCATTTGAGGGAACAGATATGTATTTTAATCAATACAGCTGGCTGCACCGAGCATTGAGCGGCTCGTTAATTGCATATTTTTTTCCGAGATGGAAGGTAGGCACTCGAGAACCAGAACCAGGACTGCGCGGGGTGGACTGTCGGACCTTGCTGCAATACAATTTGCGTTTTTATAAAGGGACCCTGGTGCTCAGAAAAACAGTATCGCTTTTGTCCACAATCAACACAAAATGAAAGTTCCTCGTAATAACTTTAATTCAAACACTCGGCACTGAAAGCCGAGACATTTTGACTTGTCGTACCAAGAAAAGCACAGGTGTTGCTAATAACATTAGCGCTGGCTAATGTGACAGTGTGACAGTGAGCCAGCGTGAACAATTCCAGGACCATCAACCTGAGGCAGCTAATGGGATTCAGCCATCATTAGTTTTATTACGTACACCTGTGCTTTCCATGCTGTGATATGTCAAAATGTCTTCTGTGGGGAAAAAATGGGCCTATTAACACAAGACGGTGTTAGCTAGCTCACTAAATGATATGGTTAGCAATCACCTGTCTGTTTAATTCTCTTAGGACGGGTGTTATGCTCAGGAATGACAGAAAGCTGGGTGTGTTAAATCAAATGCGTAAATCTAAAAGCTGTCCATGAGACGACACACATGCAGACACAATGTACAGCAGGACATGGGAGTCAATTGGAAGATAGCGGTTTAATCCTCACAGCTGTTGGAAATCTCGAGCAGGAATCTGAACTCCAACCTTCTTACATCTGCTCGTCTGGCAGAAATGTGTGAAAACACGTTTAATTAAACCAGCAATTTCCTTAACGAGTGGAATTGTGTCACTATACCCAAATATATTCAGCCAGTGACTATTTTTTGACATTATTGTGTGGCTGTGGGGGAGCTGTTCCCCTTTTTAATACTGTACGCGTGACAGCTGAGACAGATGTGACAGCTCAGGAAAGTTCCAAAAAGTTTCCTCTTCCAGAAAAGCAACTCTTAAAGAACACATGAGTAGAAGTAAACCGTCTATAAATCCACTCAAACACACGCAGCCCTGGCTAATCCTAACCACATTTGTTATTTCTCTTTCATATCTCCGTTATGGACGCATGAGAAACGTGAGAGCTGGAATGTTGGCTCAGATGTGGGTAGCTGCACTACATTATATAAACACCAGGGAAGATTAAAAGCCAGGGGCAG